CATCTAAAACTCAAGTTATTGATGTTTTCCTGATGGCTGCCCGGACCTACTCGAGAACAGATACGGTCCGAATCTAAAAATCATTTTGACCACCTATTGATTGAATTTTTATAAGAAATTTTAACATTTAATTCTCCAAGGCGTAATATGCTTACAATTCAATTTTTTGTAAATTTAGGACTTCGTTTGGTTGCCAAATGGATTAGTTTCAGAAAGGTGTCCAAAGATAAAAATCCCAATTTTACAAAAGTAAATTTTCTTCAGTTTTGGAACTGGTCCCTGAAGTCTAAAACCATTTGGTCCAAGTTAATTTCTGAGCTTCTATGAACATGGTATGTAATTATGCTAGTTCAAGGTTATAGTAGTGTCACGGGTTGTTAGGGCTCGGGGAGCTACAGAGAGTTTACAGAAAAATCTCAGTAGGTTCAAGGCCAATTATTTCAGAAGTTATTTCACAGTGTAACAATGTGCATCATGTTGTTCGATCAAACTTCTCTAAGCAAAAAGGAAAGGCAAAATATGCAATCCTCACCTGCTTGAGGGTAGACAACTCCAATTCTAGTTGCTGAATATGATCTGTTGCTCCTGGTGACAAATCCCCTAAATTTTGAAGATTCAATTTCTCGAAATCTTCTACAATACAACCACCACCACCACCTTCACCTGGTTCGCATACTCTCTCCTGCTTCACCTCTGAAACCCCATAGTTTACCGAAAACTCCGACATTCTTGTAGTGTCAGGCGATATATCAAAATTCCGCATCAAAGATATCCTATACTCTGCATTCCACAAAGTATACCTGGACAAATACAAACAATTCACCAAAGAAAACAATAAATCAACGAAATAGTTGAATTGACCACGATTCAGCAATATTATTATGTATGAACTCAGCCTACAAAATTAAATGAATATAAATGGTCCGATCCCTATCTAACAGCTTACGTTATTCCCCGAGATAGTAACTTGTATTGTAAATAATTACCCGGTTATGATGGAAGAAACAATCAAGCGATCGAGGGGGTGTTTGGAAATCCTAACGGTAACGGAAAATTGATCGGACGGTAGAAGTCCCAGCATAGTGGAGATAGTCTGCTTCATGGAGTCTTTAGCAGAGTCCGAAACCCCCTTAGAGATAATCGAATTGTCCAACGGCTCAATCCTCTTCAACATATTCGCAATGACAGAGAATTCGCGGCCAAAGACTGATTTCCTGGTGAACACGAACTCGTCAGGGACCCCTCCGCCATCCACTCCTGAAACTAAACAGCTGATAACAGTCGGAAACTGCCGTTTCCTAGAGGATATTGACGGGAGCAAGCGGCGGATGAGTGGTGGCGGGAAGTTAGGTTTAAGTGATAAATCGGTGGCGCCGGAAATTGTGAGAAGCCTTACCGTGGCCGTGGCTATGGTTGCCATATATAGATATAGAGAGAAACTCTCGGGCGGAAAGGGATGAAATCTCTCCGTTCCTGGGGTAGGGTGGCGTGGGGTCTCCGGCGGAGCTTAAGCTCTGTGGAGATGTGGTTTTCGTATATAGGAATCTCTTCTTACCCTCTCATTTTTCAGCTGTTTTTTTGTTTGGTGGTGAATTTTGTTGTTTTAAGGGGCTCGTTTTTCGAATTAATTACCGATTCGCCCTCGCAGGAGTGATGTCATGCTGTGAAAAGAATTGATTTTGTTAATTGTACATTAATAAATTACATAATATGATGTTGAAAGAAAATATTGGATGAATAAATTGATTGTATTTTAAGCTCATGTTTGTCATCAATTTTATAAAACTCTGTTTGCTACAGTAAACAATTTACACTACATATTCACTCGATAAAATATTATACACAGAAACCCGTGGGTGAGTAAGTGACGATTGTTATAAACTCATAAATACTAATATTTATGTCAATTGTTTGGAAAATTGCAGAATTGGTCCCCAAATTTATTTCAGAATAGCAAGTTGGTTTTCAACTTCTTCGTAGTGGCTCCTTTCTATATCCCATTTCATAGGAAACTTCAAAGTGGCTCTATTTCATTATATTCCAACATTATACCAATTCTATTTATTTAATACACATTTGGTGTCATTCACATTTAAATTGCTCATTTGGAAAATTTCCGAAAAATTATTCATAGACTTTTCTCCCCATTAGAACAACAAAGTCGTCCAATTTAGGCTTATTGGTAAAGCATGATCAACTTCCTTTTGTAGTACCTTATCCTTAGAGAAATTCAAATCTCCATTACTCCCTTAAGAGAGATGCCCTAAACCACTAGACAAAACGAGGGGGCAAAAAGATTTATCTTTATTCTTATTAGAGGATTGTGACTGGGCAAAGAGAATAATTTCTCCTTTAAAAAGTGTTTATCAACCTTTTATCATAGTTGCATAATTGTTTTCTATGAAAAAAATTTGAAAAAAATAAGAGCTCCGTCACATTCTCCTTGGCCCTCATGAAAACTTTTTTTGAAGCACTGACCTAGGTCGGGAAATGCAAATTGACTTCACTAAATATGATATGAAATTGGAGGGTCATGTAACAATTTAATGAATATTTAAATAAAGACTTGTATGTTTATAATTAAAGGTTGATGACCCTTTTTTTTTTTTTCGAATTAGCCCCCGTTTGGTGCACATTTTGGGAATAAGAATGCATTTTTACTTTTGATGTGATGGTGAATATGTGATTGAAAAATAAGGAAAAGTTATTGATGTGATGGAAAATATTATTTTATTGAAGAATGTGTGGTTGAAAATAAGTAGAAGAATGAGAATGAGAAAAATAATGTGGATCAAACAAGGGCTTAATATCAGAAAAACCCCTATAAACTTGTCCATTTACGATATATCCATATATCTATTGGAAATTGCAGAAAATTCCTGTGTTTGAAATACCTCTTATCGTCAAGATCCATTAGTTTAATCGTTAAAATTTGTAAAAAATACCAAAATTAAAGAAGAATAACGGGTTAATTTCACAAATGGTCACTGAAGTTACATGAAAATTTCAAAACGGTCACTGAAGTTTAAAAATTGCAGAAAACGGTCATTCAACTTTCATGCAGTTTCAGAAATGGTCAGTAAAGATAGTTTTAGGACTTTTATGTT